TGATTCTAGAAGACACGGAATACTGTAGAAAAGAATCTGTATAATGGAAGCCCAAAAGAAATATATCACCTGTCACCACAGAAAACATTCAGTCACACATTCACATAAACAAAGGACACTGCCAACCATGTACTACAACAATCCTACACAAGAATCTTCACAGGAGTGAAATTCCAGCAAAACTGGCTTCTACACAGGCACACCGGGGGGGGGGGGATCTCATTTAATGGAGGAAAAGAAAAAGCCCACTCCAAATTTTATTATCATCATTTATACCTAACCTCCATCCAAAAGGAATCTGAGACATTAAAAAGCATAAAGGAAGGGCTGGGGATTTAGCTCAGTGGTTTCGCCGCCTGCTGCACAAGTGCAAGGACCTGAGTTCGATCCCTGGTACCAAAAAAAAAAAAGCATAAAGAACTAAAAGTTGTGTAATAATCAAAGACAATGATAACTGTTATTAGATATCTAGCCTAAGAATGGACACCATGACAAGGCATTAAATTTAGATGTAACACTTCCTAGCAGCAAAAATGTAAAAGCAGCTCATACAGTTCTATCTGATTAATTCAAGTTAATCAGAAGAGAAAAAACATTTTTCTACCACTTCTTTGTATAAAGGATATATTTGATTTCATGTTCTACGCAACACCTACAAGTCTAGTATAATGTTCTATATGCATGCTAGCATAGTTCTACTGGATGCTATTCTTCAAATGTTTAAAAAGCATTCCAACCAATCTTGTATCTAAATGACCTAAAAGTTATGCTAGCCAATCAGACTAAGTACTCACATGCCCACGCACATGCGCACAGAGTTTGGAGGAGAGCTGTCAAAAGCCTCTCCCAATACAACCTCCACCCTTTTCACCACCCCTACTCTGGCAAGGAGGACAGAAAAAGTTCAACAGGATAGTATATACTATCAGAGTATATTTTTCTAAGATTACTATCTAATAAATTAAAATGCAGAAAAAAATTTCCAAGACTTTATGAAAGACAGGATACACTAAAATGTCATTCATACTAAGAGGCTAACAAGAGCCAGTATGGACGTAAGCAGAGTCACACAATCAATCCACAGACCCTTGGGTATGACAGACACCCAGGAAAGGGTTCCTGTATGAATGACAGCAGCAACCGGAGTATGGATATAAAAATGACTTCTCCCCAAAAAGGCACACTCTAAGGTATCACAAAAGAGGTAATTGGCACAAGGAAAGGAAAAGAACATGAGATTGACTTTCTACTGCTTTTTCCATAAGGATGTCTGAAAGAAGTACAACTTCACACGAAAGGATATTCCCTGAACTTTAAGAAATGAGAAATTAGAACAGTCCAAAGTAATCAAACGTTGGTAAAAATGTTAAGCCACAAGATAGGCTACCACAAAATCAGTAAGAATTCAGATGCCACCAGCCACATGGGCTGACACCTAGCATGGATAGCTAAACTAATGCTACCTGACCCTAAAGTATGGGCTATTTCAGGGCAAAAGCCTAAAGTGGCCAAGTCCTAAAAACCAAAGAAATTAAAAACATGGCCAAGCAGAATATTTAAATGTTTCCAAGAGTAAGTAAGAGCAACTCTTTTGAAAAGAAAAACTTGAGCCAATCTGACCTTGAGGACAGATTACTGTGTACATGTCAACATTGTGAATCCACTGAACAATGATGGACTAACCCAGTATTTCCCAGTAACAGGCTAAATCAGGTCTTCGAGAAGACAAAGGAGATGAGGTCAACCAACCTGTACAAAAAACTGGAAGAAAGAGCATAAAGAGTGATGTTCTAAAAGAAAACCAAACTGAAAGATGGAAAAAAGAAAAGTGGTTAAGAGAACCCACACAGCCTGGCTAACTGCGAGAGAGTGCCTGGTACTGGAGGAGGAAGAAAAGCTGATTCCCAGCCATCGCTGGAGCCCAGTGACATAGAAAGCACAACGGCACTAAACTCCAGAAGAGTCTAACTTCAGACAATAAACTCCAGTGTGTTCCTTTGGCTACACCACTTCAAAAGCTTCACCACTTTTCCTTCCATGGCCCAAATACCAAGTACCCTGCCTAGCAGGGAAGACACCCAAAGACACTCAGTGGCTGGGAGAAGGGCCCGGAAGAGCTCCCACCAGAAATGAGATGACTTTCCTGGGTCTGTGCCAACATACACAGCAGGTATTCAACTCTGGATTTTTACAAGGCTCACTAATTCTATCCTTAAAAATACACAAATCCACCAAGCTGATTACAGACAGAATAAAAAGAACTTAAATATTAGAAATCTCCCCCAAAAAAGAAAATGAGGTCTACTTTCTGGCATTGGGTATTATGCCCAAAGGACAGGCAGGGCAAAGCCAGCAGTCAAACCCCAGTGCTCACCTAACCTCCAGTAAACCCCATCCACCTCCTGGTACTCAGAAGGACAAGCTGGGGACAGCCTCCTTGCTAGAAAGGAGCTTAAAGGCCCAAATTCAGCTTGCTGGGGAGGGCGAGTCTCCACACTAAGCCTGTCCAAAAGTAAGACTTCACTGCTGAGTGACAGGAGCGCCGGAAACCAGGCAGGCAAAGCACCTGACTAGAGAAAGATCAGACAGGGCTCTCTCACTCTTCCCGTGCCCTGGAAAAAAGAACTTGAAGAACGATCCTCCCACCTTCACAAGAAGTGGCAAGGGCCTTTCCAAGGGTACCTTTTCCTAAGGTCACAATCTCAGTTACAAAATGGCCAAAATACAGGGATGCATTTACAGCCATTCATTCCTAGTTCTATCACAGAGAACTACTCACTGGTCTCCTATCATTTGCCCAAAACTGCAGTCCCACACTGAAGCAAAGAATTTCTTTCCCCTACACTGCAGTAAAGAAATCAAGAACTTTTCACCCAATGCAGTATCAAAGGCTACTGCCCTTAAATTCAGAATGCCTGAGATTGGGTGCCCACTGGCAAGCATTCCACACTTCACACATTCAGGGACACGGTGAATACTCAGGATGTCATTCTGCTTATTCAGTACAGCACAAATGACAAATGAAAGAGTGATGAGATTCTTCTGATTCTTCTAAGCCTGAAGAGTCACCAACAACAGTTATATGTACTTCTTGCATGTGAAAGTCCCCACACACACCCAAAATGTACAGCGGTCATCTAACCCTTCTAACTTGCTCTACATATGTGAGGGATGTTACTTCATCTACACATATAATACACCTATATGTGGGCATGTGTCAACCAATGCATACAGCGCCAGGATGATCTCTAGTTCACCAAAAAAGAACCAGAACAGCAAAAAATAGAAAGCATTCAAATTTCTCCTTTGCCTGAAAGGTACAAGATCCAAAGAAATGTTTGGATCCCACAGAGACAAGACCAGGGCCAAAGGAAGGTTCTAGTACAACAAAGAGCACACAGCTACCTCTTTCCGAATGGCACGTGGGCGACATGGTGTCTACACTCCCCATTCTGGATGGAAAGGCATATGGCATCTCCTTACCCAGCCAACGTGAACACAATTTGAGAAAATTAGAAAAAGTCAAGGTAGCAGGCTCACTAAATATGGCTGACTGGGAGACAGAAGCCATAAGGAGGATATGAGTTCCCTCAAAAAAGAATTGGGAAGTTTATTTCCCGGGGAGGTTCAAAGCCTCTTGAGTGTGGGACGCAGAGCCTGGTTCTTACTGCACGGAAGACAGTAATGAGAGCACCAAGAGCCAAGGGCACATGACCCTTTTGCCGGCGGGGTACTGTCAACTGGTGAAGGCTGCCCCCTCTTAAGAGGCAAGAGTCAACTGGAGGCAAAAATACAGCCTTCCTTCCCCCCCGGACACAGGAGCAAGGACTGTGGCCCTTTTCCTCAAGTAGTAGGCACGACGGAAGCCCTGCCCTACATCTTACTGGGGCACCCAACCTCCCGGACAGGGAACTCCGAGGAGAGAACACCTCAGCATAGACAGGCAACTCGGAAAAGGAGCCCGGGGACGTCCAGCTTTCTCCATCAGGAAAAGAGGGCAACTCAAAGGGTATTCAGGAAATGAGCTCACCCCACCCCAGGAGAGTGTGCGGGGAGTGCAGATAATCTGGAAGAAGTGTCTGCTTTCCTATTTAGAAATGACTTCAGAGCTGCACAGGCCCCCACGAGCCTGGGCGAGGGAAGAGGAGCCTGGGCAGCCCGCGTCCCCTTGTCCTGACAAAAAGGGTCAACAGACGAGAGTGCGAGGGCCCGAAAGCCGCCACGCCAGAGGAGGGACTCAGACGGACCCCGGCGCCAGGCGAGGACCGGGTCACGGCAGGTAAAGGGCAAGGGAGCGTGGAGAGCGGGACCCCACCCTCGGGCCGCGAGGGGGCCACGGCAAGAGCGGGAGGAGCGGGCGGCGAGGGGCGGGGAGCTGCGCAGGCCCCCTCCCTCCTGGGGGTCGCTTCGGGGACCCAGCCCGCCCGGGGAGGCGCCGCGGGGCCGGCGGGGCTGAGCGGAGCGCGCCCGGCCCTTCCGCCGCCGGGAGCGGGCGGCCGGCGAGGGCTGAAAA